AAAATTTCATACATATTTTCCCTCACTCCATATTTAATCTTTTTAATTAACAAAAGCCCCAAAACCCTGGTCATTTTAATTTTTGTAGTGAAAGTTCCATAAAGGATTTTTGACCTGTTATGAAAATATATATTATTTTTCTGCTGGTCAAACAAATCTACTTTATATTCTTTCCTCATAGACAGTATCTAATTTGCTGCTTTGGACAGAATTAATTGAGTATTGAAGTATTTTTGTATAGTTTGGTCTCTTGTCACTTTGGGCCTGTCACTCTCTCTAAGCACAACACACATCACAGGTTTGTTGTGAAAACAGGAGGAGGAAATTGTGTTGGATAGGTTGTACTATTGTACTATTTGTAAAAATAGTAAAGGAGGATACAAATAATTAACTAAATAAAAAAATCTTCCAGGCAGAGTGCACAGGTATATCTCTTGAAATCTTCTCCTTATATAGTTTCTGTTAGAGGTTCAACAGCCCCCTGTTTGATTAGGTTTTCCAAATTTACTCTCAGACTTAAGTACATTCCTCTCTTGGTTCCAGTAAATGCCATTTCCAGGTCTTCAATAATTGCTCTGATTTGTTATTTTCATTTTATAATCTGGGATCTCCATTTTTTTCCATTAATTTATTTTCTCCAATCATTTATATTGCAGATACTTCAAAATTTTAAATTCATTTTCTCTTCCACATTTGCAAATCCATTCAGCCAGGTCTTTCTTAAAAAATTCAATTACTGAAGTTTTCACTGATTTTATAATAATCTTCCACAATTCCTCAAAATCTTTTATAACATCACTGAGTTACCATTTACAACTACAAATATTTTTTCCTGGTATTTGCTGTGTTAGAAACTTTTTCTACTTTCTTGATAGTAGCCAGCTGGTAGAGCAACAGTGAAAAGCTGTTCAGAACTATGAGATGAGCAGCAAATAAATTTGATAGATAGGTAGATAGATAGGCAGGCAGGCAGGCAGGCAGATAAAATGATGATGTTATCCATTCAGTCGTGTCTGATTGGGTGAAATAAATGACACTCCCCCCCTTTTCTTCCTTTCTCTGCATCCTTAACTTTTAATCCCATTCAACATATTCTACAATCTATGGACTTTAATGACAATTCCTTGTCTTTTAGTTTGGAAAAATCCATTAATCATTTTTCTTTGAAAATTCAAACAATCCTCTTTCCCACAGAGGCATGTGCTATTTATTTATTTGATTTGTTTAACCAATTTGAAAATGCTTTAAAATAAGGAGAGTCCAAACTCAGCTAAGCCCTTTATCCATTTTAAATGTTCATAGTCTAAACTTTTAGCAAGTTTTTTTTTGCTGTAGATTATTTTTGATTCCTTGTAGTCATTTCTTTTTATTTCCTTTTACTCATGCCCTGGGGTTTCCTTGTGAGGAGCTGCCTTCCAAAGTGCACATAGTTGTCCTCTTTTTATTCAGAGAAATTTCCCTGACTAGGGCTTACTGTTCAGTCATAGTCCTCTGCTTCATTGTTGACCCCACTCTTCAAAAATGTGTCAATCTGTCTGTCAACGCAGTGACAATGGATGTCATCACTCTGACAACTGACAATCAGCAGCCATTTTTATTTTTGCTTCTAGCGTGCCTTTCCTATTCTTTTAGAGTTCAGATTTAGAAGGGGCGATGGGGTAAATGCTTGAGGGTTTAGCTAGCCATAACAATATAGAAGTGTGGGAACTCAAGGACATGGCCTGATAAGGTTTTGGCGGGCTGAAGGGCCAGTGAGAAAAGCCTGCGTCATGCATTAATTGGTGAATGTGATTTATGGCAGCGTTTGTGGGATGAGAATTACAACCTGTTACTTTGTATCTGGGGGGAAGGAATCTCAGTTTTGGGTTCAAGTATGTAAGTGCCCATACTTTGTTTCCTGATAAAATGTTATTTAAGGAAGAATTCTTGCCTTGAAGTTCTTTTACTGGTTTCATCTATTGGAACCATGACACTGTCATGTTCAGCTGTAAATAGATGTTTTCTTTGTGGTTGTGTAAGTAAATATGCACTAAGTTGTTCCAGAAGATAGAGGAGATAGAGGATATTGAAGTAATAACTTTATAACTTTTTCACTTAAAGCCTTTTCAGATAAAAGAAATCAAATATAATGCAAACACTTTTAAGTCTTTTTATTTCTACAAGCTTTAGGCCTTGTTTTCACATGTTAACAGATCTTCTCCAGTGAGTGTTGGCATTCACATTCTCCTATTGCACCAGCCCAAGGACAAAATGCAGTATCCAGTCTGGATCGGTCATATTTGCCTTCATTTGAGACAAAATGCAGTAATTGTGTGTGGCTTTATGTTGTGCAAATAGACAAGATGAATTGATTTTGAATGAGTGACTAATTGAGATAACTGAGAATTAACAGTTTTCAGTTTTACAGGTTTGCGAATCAGCATTATAAACTATGTAATTATTTCTTGTAGTATACTTAAATCTCTTGATAATATATTTTAGCTTTACATTTGTTTAACTTATATATTTTAACCTATGATTAAAAGCTATATTTGCATGAACATTCACCCTCTAAAATTAGCAGATGGGCTTCTTTTGCAATTTCTGTTTTTTGATGATACAAACACTGATACTCTTCACTGTTCAGTTGGGATGAGGAGAGTATTATCTGGAACTGGCAGAAAAATTGACTAAATCTAGGCTGGAGGATACAATTACTAAATAATTAGGGGGTTTTATCACAGTGATTCATTGGCATACTTTTAACATTTGCACAGAGGTCTGTTCAGAACCTTCTAAAGCTTACAACCTTGTTTGGTAGGACATATCAAGCATACTGTACAACTATGCATAATCTATCTTATTTGGTGTTGGTATCTCTACCTTCAGAGATGACCCAACTAATTTTCCAATCAGTAGGGAAAATATCTTTATCCAGACTTTGGTTTCTATTGCTTTATGGTTATGGATGGTTCTATTCCATGGCCCTTTAGGATGAAATATAGCAGTCTATGTTGGCTTCTAAGGGTTTCCAAGTGTTAAAGTCTTCATCCTGGTTCATCCAAGCCGGGAATAAATAAGCAAACATGGCGACTGCTTTGGGAAGAAGTTTACAGTTTATTGCAGAAAGATGGTTCTTCAGGAAAGTGCAGAGGAGAGAAGGGGGTGAGCACATGGTGTAGTAGGTTTTTATATCCCCTCTAGCCTTTTGTTTGGAATAGTTTCCTGTTCCTGTGGCATGAACCTTGAAGCTGTTTCTGAGTGTTTGTCTAGGCCTTGATATCTGTGGTTTAATTCTATTATCATATCCTGCTTCCCAGGTGATGGGGCTAATGACGCCTAGAGTTTGGGTGGGGTATGCAGATCTTCTCTTTTGTCTTCTTGATTGCTCTGGCTCCAACTTTCTGATGGTTTTACATCTGCATTTGTATGGGCCTAGCTCTTGCTTAGGGCAGAGAGATAGATTTGGGGCCAGGTTTGGTTTTAAAAAAGTCCTTTTGAGGAAAAATATATTTTTCTGCCCTTTTTAATATTTCTTTCTCTGGGCTAACTTCCCTCACAAGCAACTGAAATTTATTTATTTATTAAATTTCTATACCACCCATCTTACCTAAGTGACCTGGTTTATAACAACATAATAAATAACTGTCATCTAGTATTATAGACCAGATTTCTATGCCCAAGAGCTGTAACCTTTGAAAGTCCATTCTCTCGTGACAACTATATCTCCTTCCAGATAAAAGCTTGTTATTCACTTACATGTGTGAATTAGATTACAATGAAGAAATGGTTACTTATTTGTAGTTATAATTCTTCAAATGATCATCAGAGTTTTTACAGAAGCAATCCTCCTATTCTCTTGGCCGAGATAGTCATTGTTCCTTCAAATCTGGGTGAAGGAAATGAAGAGTTTCCTTCAGGGTTTTTACAAAAAGCCTTTAATGTATAGAAAATTCTGAAGAGAGCATAGTCCACTTGTGTAAGTTCACAGATAAAAGTACAGGTAAATAACCACAGTAGCTCTTTTTAAGACAAAAATGTCTTAAATGTATAACTTGCAGGCTTAAAGGGGTTTTCGCTTGTTGGTGTTGGAGATATGTTAATAGATCTGGAGGACGGGAACACAGAGAATGTAAACATGAAATTATCACTTAGAACTCACCATGGGCAACATTTAATGAGTTTATTGTTATGCTTGGAAAATACAGAAAGAAAGACACCCAGAATGACACCCAAGAGGATATACATTTGGGAATTGGCCTTAATTGTCAGAAGTAATTGAATACTTTAGAACGTCATTCTGATATTGTAATAAAGCTCTGTTTTGAACCATGCCTTGTTACATACTGGTAAGCTTCAACTGCATTCTAGCCTGACTATGGAGCATACCAGCTGGAAATAATACAACTCATATTTTTAAGAGATAGTATTTTCAGTTCTTCAAATTATGTTGTGCACATTGATGCATTTGAGATCTGAATCAGTTACCAATGAAGCTTGATGTTGGGGCTATTATTTAATTTTGAGTTAAATTAATGTTTATGCCAACTGATTTGGTCCTTCTAATTCTTCTGTATGGTTTTCAATCTATCTGGGACAAATTATTGAATTAAAACCTTTTTTTTGAATAGGTTGTCCTGATGTTTTGTTTGTTTCCCTTGCATTTTATAAGACAAAAATAACTGTCAGGTATGCTCAAGATGCCACATTTCTGAAAAAGTTTGTGCACTTCTGAAGTAATTCAGTCTGGCAAATTAAATGAAATGTTTGGTCATTTATTTTTGTCTTTTAGTCTTGAACTAGTGTAGGGCATTTGTACACTACACCAATGTAGTACCATACATAATGTTGAATTGATCACTGAATGTAAGAATTTATTGTATATATTTCTTTTTGTTTATTTTTCCTATTGCTGGCCCAAGACTGTAATAAAGATGTGACAGCTTGAAGTTTGATCCCCATTAATAGTTGAATTGCAGTGTTTCAGTATTGTCTACACGTCTTCAGTACCATGTGCTGACTTGTGAAGTAGTTTTGAGGCTGAGATAGCCCCAGAGACTGCATGTTGCTCTAGCATTTGTCACAGCAGGAAAGGAGCTTGTTTGGCTCATTTCAACACTTTCCTCTGTATTCTCATGGACAGCCATTCTGAAGAGCAGTGCCAGATGCCTTCCTGCTGCTTTATTTGGATTAACTTTCTTCAATAGCAAATAGCATCTCCTGATGCATTGCCTGAGATGAGGTTCTCATCCGGCCTCATGATGTAGTTGACTCATCAACTGCAAATAAATAAATTAAGTTAATTTTCCAATCCAAGTAGACATTACAATACAGCCAGGATTAGAATAAGGAAAACATCAGCAAAACATCAGCATCAATAGGCATCAGGTACCTACTGTTTGTTGAAGCTTTTGTTAGACAAGTGGACTTGCAAGCTATATATTTATATATTTTTAACAAGTCATTCTTTTATTTGCTCCGAAATGGACAATTAAAACTTTAAATAAGTTCCACTTTTCACAGTTATTCTTTTGGTACGCTATTTTTGAACTTTATAGGCTGCCAAGTTCTCCCTGAGAAAGAGGAGATCCTGTGATATCCCACATGCAGTCCCCATAGTTGCTCCTTATGAGTAGACCACAAAAATTGTTCTGCAGTCGGCTTATGTGTTGAACTGATGGGAGTCAGGAAAGAGCCATCTTTGTTCCAGGAATGAACGTAGCTCTTTTTAAGGACATAAAGCTCAACCAAGCATCATTTCTTAATCACTTTGGATATATTTTATTACCTTTGAAATATTAAGACCCTTCAGAATAGAGAGTTATATGGTATTCACTGGATCAGTTCCCTTCTCCTTTGAGAAGTATGTTTAAATATTATTTTAAACTTTTGAAAAAATAATCACTTTTTGGATTAAATAGCAAAAGGGGTCTTAGAATATTGATTTCAGAAAGTGGCAATGAGTTAAGGCTTCATATGGATCAGAATTACAACATTAAATAAATTACAAGCATCCTTCTAGGCAAATGGTGATTACTTGGATTTCTTTAAAAGAAAACATGATATAGGACTTTTGAAGGTTGGACACTAGAGGGAGGTAGGAGATAATAAAGAGTTTAATTAAAGATTAAAAATGGAGCAAAATAGACCAACAATGGAATTTGTGATGGATATTTTTGAATAATGGTCTTTGAAATTATTTGATATGATTGATAGCTAGTCTGTCAATAAAGTTACAGAAGAAGAACAAACTATATTGGATAAGTTTGAAGTTAATTTGAATATAGTTTTAAGGGTGACAAGTAATGAGAAGATATGGAAGATGTATTGAATATATAAACAAAATCAGTTTGTATTTCATTGTTTAAAGGAAATATATAAGTATTAAATCAGAAAAGCAGTTTGCATAACTTTTTCTTACTGCTCTGTTAAAGTTTTGGAAGATTCTTTGAGAAGGGACAAAAAAGCTGAAAAGAACTCAACCTCTGGGATTTTATTCAAAGATGTTAAAAATCAAGACAGTTAAAAGTTTAGGGAAGAAATACGAGGCTGGTTTTTTTTTTAATCATGGTTAAAATAAATAATTAGTTATATTTGGCAATCCTTCCTGGACTTCTGCTGAGAAGGAACAATTGATGAGTTTTTTGGATTTTGTTTTTAGTTAAGAGATGAGATATGGTGTGAAGAGAGTACTTGTATTTCATGAGATGGTGATGTCAGCAAAATTGTTACACTTGTTATGTTGAAGAGTGAAGTTACTTCTTTTTTCTTTTTCATATATTTTTCTTTTTAATTCTTATATTTTTTACAGTCCATATTAGTTTTTATTTTTTCTATTTATAATTTCTAATTACTTAATAAATGACCACAAAATCTTGTAGCCAATAAATAATAATATGGAAAACATCTGAAAACATAATTGAATTATTAATCTGGATAGCTATAATATACTTGTCTTGTGCTGTCATAATAGAAATCATAGTACATTTGGGAAATCACTATATCTTGTATTTGTATGGGTTTTTGTGGTAGAGAGAGATTTTATTACATTATTAAGTAGAAAATTCTTTATTTTGAACTCATCAGATAGGAATTAATAATACTTCCATCATGTAATGCCAGACTTATGTCAGATGTGTTTCACACAAAATTACAGTTGTAAAAATCTGTTTCATATTGATTTCTATTCTGTTCTTCCAAACAAGTTTCCTATTCTAATTTAATCTGGACAAAATTTTAAGTGGATAGGTAGAATATATTTCATCATATTTCTTTCTTGACATTGAAAAGACCACAATAGGAAGCAACTTTTCAAGACATGCTGAAAAGGGCTATCACATTATCATTTCCTTTTTACATATTTATATTAATAGTTTTTCTTTTTGTTACTATATAATGCATACAGATGTCTATTCTGGCATCAAGTATGCAATTGGAGAGTAGGAAGCAGAATTGTTTTAGAATGGTCTTTACTGCTTGCCAAAAGTACTAAACTGCTTTATTTATGGTTGATTTATTTATGGATGATTTCCAGATAACTGCAAATAATTTAAAAAATATCCTCTCGAAAATCTGTGATGAATGTATAATTAAGATATGCTGTATTTTAGGGATTTTTAAAAAAAGTTTTGGAATTTTTCATAAGCAATTGACACCTCATTAAGAATAACTTGCATTTATGCTACACAAAACTTATTGTCCAATATTATCAATTATCTCCACGTTGCAGTTGCATACAGAGATTTAGGCGGTCCTATTTAAATTGTATATTTCAGTGAGCCCTCAAGTAACAGAAGCTGTGTACATAATGCAAAGTTAAATGTGACTTTTTTTCAGATAGAATATACGTCCTATATATAGTTGTTTAAAGATTCAAATAAGAAAACAGTGAATATGGTAGGGTATTAATCTAGTTGATTCAGTGCCTTATTTATATAAAGTGGTTAAAAAGGCCAAAAAAAGTAACTGATGTGTCAACCCTACATTTAATCAGAAAATAATTGCTGCAGTATACACATATTGTGGCCCTTTAACCTCTCATTTTCATAGTATATTATTACACATCTCTCATGTCCACAACATTATATAACAATAATCTGTGTGGAGGAGTTGTCTGAAGGAAACTTATTTTCCAATCACATTGTCTAAAGTATACAAATAAAATCTTGAGAAGCCTGATAAATTTTGTTTCAAAATGTTTTAGACTAAGATTGAACGGTCACAAGCCAGACACAATGCAGTTGGTCTGGAGAAAGATTGGTGAAGCATTTGGGAAAAAAACACTTTGCCCAGTGTTAGGCATGAGATTGTGTAAGGACCCACTTCATCTAACCACCCAAGAAAGCAGCCCTCTTGAAACAGGCATTGTCTCAAAAGGAAACTTTTATTAGGGGTTAGTGACAGTTGGGAAGTCAAGGCGAGATCTGGGAAAAATCCCGTTTCAACGGTATAGTTAAACTAGCAATATTCCTCCTCCCACCAAAGTCATAGTGTCCATTTGAAATCCAGCCAATCCACAGGTGGCACGATGTGCAGGTAACTGGCACAGTTGGCGCGGATCTCAAGGTTTTCTCCAGTTTCGTTTCTCTGTAACCATCTCCCTGACATTCCTTTCTCAAGTGGAGAGAGGCGGGAGAAGAAAAGTAGAAAGCGAAAGTTATCCCAAGCGAAAGCAAATATCCTCCCTCCCCCCAACAGAATGGCAAGTCCCAAAACAAAAGCACAAGAGTAAATATGCAAAGAAGACAATAAGGATTTGGGGACCTACAGATTGGTTCTAATGTGCTTTGGGGTTGTGTGGAAACTATTATTATTATTACTATTATTTGTTAAATGTATTTGCCACCTATCTTGCCGTGGAGGCTAGTAGCAAAAGAAATACTATACATATGAAAAGATTCAACTAAGTAAGAATATATCCTAGAAACTAATATCTGAAAGTCACTGAAGAAATTGAACTGAAAAGAGGTAGATAGAGGCAACAGTCTGAAACCAAATCAACCATGAAGTACATTAGAGTAAAGAAAGATAACGGTTTTGGAATAGCTTTCATAGTCCCCAGGCTTGAATATAATTGAAAATGTCTCAGACATGCAGAGTATGCAAGGAAAGGTAAGAATATTTCTGATTTAGAAGAGTTCTACAAAGAAGAGTAAGAAAAATTCCAAAAAAGAAAAGAAAGACTCTTATCTGGCTATATAAAATGTTTGCAACTTTTATTTCTGTCCAAGGAGGTATTTACAAACTAGTGATTGGAAGGATGTCTAAACATCTGTTACATATATTCTGTGTTTTCTTAATAAACTGTAAACAACTGTATGTAAATATTAAGTGTGCATTCAAATTTGCAAAAAGATATGTTTAACTTTGTAGCTTTCTGTTTACCCAGGATTCATTAAAATGTTCAATTTGAGTAGGGGCAAAATAGATACATTACAATTCTGTAAACAAATACTAGGATGGAGACAAAATTTTATGGTGAGCTACAATATTTCCATATTATCCTGGACTCAGAGTTACAAGAAATGTACCCAGGTTTTTCAACTTAATCTATTGTAATGATAAAGCATTAGATTGTTTAAAACATCCTGTCAATATAAGACCACAGTGAAGTTTATCTTATGTTGACTTAAAACAAACATGGTATTGTAATATATCTTATAAATTATTTCTCCCTATTATTATTAATTCATAGATGATGTACAGGTAATCCTCGACTTACAACCATAATTGAGCCCAAAATTTCTGTTGCCAAGCAAGACAGATATTAAGTGAGTTTTGTCCCATTTTACAACCTTTCTTGCCACAGTTGTTAAGTGAATCAGTGTAGTTATTAAATTGGTAACATGATTGTTAAGTGAATCTGGCTTCCCATTGACTTTGCTTGTCAAAAGGTCGCAAAAGGTGATCACGTGACCCTGAGACACTGCAGTTGTCATAAATACAAGTCAGTTGCCAAACGCCTGACTTTTGATCATGTGACCATGGAGATGCTGCAGCAGTCGTAAGTGTGAAAAACGATCATAAGTGACTTTTTTCAGTAGTGTTGTAACTTCAAATGCTCACTAAGCAAACTGTTGTAAGTCTACCTATATATGAATCTGTTTAGAATTTTAAAAGGAAACAGAGCTCTGCATCAATGAGGCAATATAACAGCCAAAAGGTAGAGGAAACAAAGAGAAGGTTAATGAATGTAGATTTGCGCAAGCTTTAATTTGGCTTGGATTGAGGCCATGGCATTTATTCCAGTGATGGGAAGCTAAAACATATGAAGAATGGT